CTTAGAGGAATAACGTCTTTGGGGGCTCCCTTTAAACGATTTAAAGGGTCTCGCTTTGGAGGCTCCTCCTTATGAGATTTGTGGTTACTCGCGGGTGAGAGAGGTGCTGTAGAATTTTCTGAGGTATGTCCCTTCTTAAATATAAAGCGCGCATTTGGAAGAAAGGGGCGTGCAATGATTTAGCAAAGTAGGCAGCACTTTGTGAAACAAGAACATGTTTACTCAACCTGGTCCCCAGCATTCACAACCACGATTGTGGGAGTCGGGTCATTCGGGTTCTTTCCTGAAGTCTTTGAGTTACTCCCAGTTTTTCCATTACTAGTAGTGTTTGAATCTCCTGATTTTCGTAACTGGGTATGCAGATGGAGCAGAGCGATGAGAAATTTTATGAAACCATAAAGGCAAGAGCATATCGGGGACGACTTACAACTTTTCTTTGGAGTATTTTATTCATTGCCTAGTAGATTCACAACTTATCCAATTTTATTAAGAGAACAAAGTTTTTTTATTAACGCATGTATTACAACATTTAGTAGAAGTTATAGTAAAGTCTACCAACAGTATATAATTCCCGCCTTCAATGCGGCTTAATGATTGTGGGCACGATCCGGTCTCTTATTCTATATTCGCAAATCATTTCCAAAAGAAACTGGTCATTTGATATTTACAGTATATACATACAAAGTTTTGGGTATAATGTACTGCGCCATAAATTGATCGCTCCACTGGTCGCGTTGCAACATGAATTCATTTCTGCTAAACACCAATTGGTTCATTTAAATTTAGGATTAATGCCTTCTTTTCACTACTTTATTTACTGCGGAATAAAGGTTACATTGTTTTATTCTTCTCTCTTTTATTGGAGCGACCGTGCATTTATATCGCCTATTTTTCTGTGTAACAGGCGCCCACGTGAAGTTACTGACAAATATGTGTATTACACACCATAAATGATATTTCTTTGATATGCCATTAAAGTTAAATAAAATTCCGTCATTTATGGCAGATACGTAATCGCAATGATTTCTTTTTACTTGAACAAATTGCCCGGAAAAAAAAAGATACTGCATATTCGACTTTAAAAGATCTGGTGTCAATTTCTTAAACAAGGCGAATGAGAACGGATTATTAAAATTTTAAATTACTGTATTTAAAAAGGTAATTATTAATTATTTAATCATCATAAGATAAAATATTTTCATCACAATCAATAAGTCGTGAGTTTAATTAACAAAGGTATCCAAAGTATGTTGTAAAGAAATAGTATTATAATAATATATCCATTTTTTAATTAATAATTATAACAATAATAAAAAATTTTTGGAACTTTGTTTTTAATTAAACTTATTTATTTATTTTAATTTCATTATATATTATAATTAAATTCAAAATAAAAGTTGATATTTATCAAATAAATCATTGTATAAAAATAAAATTGTGTTATACTATATTACTTAATAATTACGTAATTGAATAATTAAAAATTTTATTTATTTATTTATTTTTTTTTTATTTTTTTTTATTTTTTTAAAGATAAATATATATCAATATATATCTTTATTAATATATAATATCTAAACAGATATCAAGTGTCTTCTATATATAAAAATATGTATAATCAAATTTAAGCATTATTATGTCTTCTATATATAGAATTAATATTGCCTATTAATTATTTTTAGTAATAACTTATATATTTACCTTTATTAATTTAATTATATAAACTTATATCTTTAAAATAAATTTATATATTGAATGGAATTAATCCAAAAGATGAAAATCTTGCTATCAGTTTTAAACTATCTGAAATTATTAATTCAATAAAATAAAGAACTTGTATATTTTTTAGAAATAATTAGAATAATTAGATATTTTATTTAATATTTTTTATCTGAAATCTTAAAAAAGATATTATACTTTTTATTATTACTTATAGCTTCAGATTTTTTTTTTAATATTCTCTTCTTTTAAGTAAACACTGGATTGAAATAATCTCAAACAAGAGTATTCTTTATATTATAGAGTTTATTATATCAAAAGCTTATAAGCTATTATCAAAATTAGATCAAAAACTTTTCTTTATATAATTTTTTCTATTTTAATCTGTTTTTAATCTGTGATTATCAAAAAAATCAAAGATTTTATTTTCATACAGCCTAACTAATTTTGATTAAGATCTGAATATTTGGATATAATATTTGTAGAAAAATTAATAAACCTACAAATAAAAAATAATTTTTATATATTTGTTTTCTAAAGATATTAAATATTATTTTTATTATTATTATATATATATTATAATATATTTAAACAAGATTATATTTTTTAATTTATCAAAATAACTATTTAAACTATATTAAAAAAAATTTTAAACTAATATTTCATTTATATAATAGTATAACAGGCTATAGTATTTATAATAATAATAAAAAATATCATATATTAATACTTAATAAATAACTTTTTATATTACAATATTAATATAACTATAATAATAAATTGCAAGTAATAATTTTTAACTTTGAATTTCATAAATAAATAAATAATAAAAGAATATTTTTTTATCTTTAAAGTTATACTTAAAGATATAGTCTAAAATGAATATTTAAGGCAATAGAATAGTTTATATAATATAATATATTATATATTATTTGTTTTTTGTAAAGATTTAATAAATATATATATTTAGACCTATAGATTAATAGTATAATAATTATTACTCTCAGATTTAGATCATAAGATATTAGTTTAATTTCATATAAAAACAGTTAAACCAAATTAAAAATAATATTTGATACCATAATTTATTATATATTGTTTCTTATAAAAAGCTGTTTTTTTTTTTTGTTTTTTTTTCAGCTAAAGTGAGACTTTTTTCTAGTTTTATTAATATAATAAGTTTTTTATATACAGTAGTGTGCAAAAAAAACCAGAATCATATATTTACTTATAATTCAATAACTAATTAATTAAATTATAT